AAAAACAAACGCTTATCTCGGAACCACCATTGAGAAAGTGACAGGGTGGTCTCCCCACTCAATCCTATGTAATCCTATATAGAGCATATACGAAAACTGTTTCGCGGAGCTCGGATTTTTGGAAACGTTAGTCCACCGCTGCTTGGCTGGTGGACTTCCTCTAATATCACTGTTGTTGTTATGTGCCGTGGAGTCGGTTCCGACTCATAGTGACCCTGTGCTGGGTTTCCGAGGCTATAAATCTTTACGGAAGCAGAAAGCCTCATCTTTCTCCTGCGGAACGGCTGGTAGTTTCGAACTGCAGACCTTGCGGTTCACAGCCTGATTCGTAACCACTACGCCACCAGAGATCCTTCTAATATCACTAATGTTCAGGTTTTCTTTCTCCTGTTCGGGCCTCGCCTCCTGCAACAAGGGACAGGTTGCTAATATTGCAAATTAGGTTAATGGCACCCTTGTGAGGGTTTGTTGTGGTTGTTAAGTGCTGTTGAGGCGGTTTGACTCATAGCAATCGCGGACCTTTCCAAGGAGCGGGCTGGTGAGTTTGAACCACTGACCTTGTGGTTCAATCCGACTTTGGGGTTCAGTGCTTTTCCTACAGTGCCACAACTGTGAGGGTTGTTGTTGTTGTCGTGAAGTGCCATCAAGTCTGTTACGACTCATGGCGACCCTGTACAGGGTTTCTGAAGAGCAGCTGGTGAGCTTGATTTGCCGACCTTGCAGTTCAAACAGCTTTGCAGTCTGGCACATTAACCCACAGTACCACACCAGGACTCCGAGAGGGTAGGAACATGCAAATAAGATGTATGGAACCCTAAGGAGGGGATAGGTCAGTTTTGCCATCCTGCTAGACTTAAAATGTGTAGTGTTGCGGGCTAATGCGCTGGACTGCAGTGTCAATTTGAACCACAAGGTCGGCGGTTCAAACTTACCAGCTGCCCCTCGAAAACCCTATACAGTGTTGCTATGGGTCGGAACAGACTCGACGGCACTTCACAATAACAACAACAGCAAGGGAGATCTGAGAACCTCACACTAGGAAGAAAGAACTGTAGTGGTGTGTGTCCTTAGGACCCAGGGTCCCAATGCTGAAAGTCTCCTAGACCCCAGCGATAAAGCTGCAACACAGGCAACAGTACACGATGGTGAGAAGGCCAGCATGAGACCCAGTAGTGGGCGTCCTGACCCATGGAGCAAGGTGGCTATCGTTGGCATACCAACCCATGGAGCCCAAGAACAGAATGCTTCCATTCAGGAAGCTTCCTGGAAGAGTGGGTACTGGCCAGCAGAGCTAACGAGCTTCCTAACACTTGCCTGAGCAGGGAAGACACCAGGCCCAAATGGGGCTGAGGTGAGAGTTCAGAAAGCTATCCTGCACTAGACTTCCTGACCCCAAGTAAATAATAAACCTGCCTAATAAACCTCATGGGACACCTGGTGTGGTGCTACAGGATAAGCCCAGAACTACGAACCACAAGGTCGGTGGTTCAAGCCCACCAGCTGCTCCTCAGAAACAACAATAATAAATCTCTTAACTGTGAGTTTTGTGTGGCCATTGCAACAAACCACCTCACGAACCCCAGCAGAGAAGCAGAGTGCCAGGGAAGGAATGGCTGGGGTCAGAATTGGTAAAAAGACAGGAGAGAAAAAGATATGTCTGGCCTTGGCTGATACTGATGAGGATTCTCTCCCCTTGCGAAATTAGAGAAAGTTGGACACCTCGCTGGGAACAAGATTCAGAAACTTAGAAAGGGAAACGATGGAATCCCCGAATACTACATTCTGAAACAGCAGGTCTGGCTGCTAATTGTTGTTGTTGTTAAGCGCTGCCATCGAGTCAGTTCCAACGCATAGTGACCCTGTGGAGGGTTTTCAAGGCACAGCTGGTGAGTTTGAACCACAGACTTTGTAGTTCAAACTGACCTCACGGTCCAGTGCCACAACAGGTGTGCCCAGCAGCGCCATACAAGGACTTCTAAAGGAGAGGTCTATTTCTGTGGGTTTCACCAAGTTTGGCTTCTTTCACAAATATCCTTGGGTACGGGGAAACTGAAGCAGCATTTAAATCCAGAGTCACAGCTTTGCCAGAATGACCAGTTTGCTGTGTAGCCTGAGTCTTTATTTCCCTATTCGTAAAAATGGGGACATCTCTCTCCCTAGCCCTGGCTCTGACCAGCCTTTGTGTTTTCTCTCAGATTTGAGATGTCAAGGGAATTACTTAACCCCACAGGGGTTAAGACCCTAGCCCTCCTCCCTCAGAGAATATGCTTACTCTCCACCACTCTGCTACCCCTGATCTTTCGTTTTTGTTCTGGGATCTGGTAATTACATGCTTAGAAATGAAGGCTTTTCAAAAACATCTTTCCAACCAATTTTCAGCTGGAAACATGCATTAAGAAAAAAAAAAAGAGAGAGA